TCTCCCTCTGCCCTCTGCTCCCCCTTCTTGTGCTCTCTCTCTCACTCTCTGTCTCTCTGTCAAATAAATAAATAAAATCTTTATTAAAAAAGACTTACGAAAATTAGATGAGAATCACACAATCCCGCAAAATATGTAAGCTGTTCACATAGGCTTCATACTCAGCTTTTCAATCATCTAGCCCCATTCTTTCCTATAACCATTTCCCCTCTAAAGACTAGGTTTTCCAATTAAAGGCCTTTCATATTAACTTTACAAGCTATGACCTGGTGTCTTTATTAATTCCATTCTTATTCATCTCGTTTCTTATTTTCTTTTTCATTCTCTTCCCTCTTACCAACTTTTCTTTCTCCTTTGATTCTTCCCTTGATATAACAGGATTCTATCTTCTTTGGCCTAAACCTCTCTTCAGCAACAACTCATTTTCTGCAGTATGTTTAAAACCACATGCTACATAAGCCAAGACTAGGCCTATATGATCCTGAGCTGCAGCAAGATAATATTTCCTGAGTTTTCTATTTCTTAGCTCCCATTTCCACCCATTGGGTTTATTTTCTATCCCCTAAAGTAGGGACATTTAAAAAGTTTTCAAATTAAACATGGTTTTCTTTTAAATGTGGTTTTCTGGGATGCCCAAAACCTCCCACTAATTCACAAGAGATGTTAATTTATCTCGCTCTAGTTCTGTAGTTACCTATAGTTTTCAACATGGCTTTCTTTTAGGTATGCCATCTACCCAACTGCTTCTTTAAACTTATTTAATTTGATGTGTTTACTCAGTACACATTAGTTTGGTTATTCCAATATGCAAGTCACTGTACTAAGTGCTGGGTTGTTTAGGGCAAGAGAAAGTAATACTTAAGAACCTTTCCATATATATTCTTTCTTTCTTTTAAAGATTTTATTTATTTGTTTGACAGAGAGAGAGAGCACAAGTAGGGGGAGCGGCAGAGGGAGGGGGAGAAGCAGCCTCCCCGCTGAGCATGGAGCCCAACAAGGGGGACCCTGGGATCATGACCTGAGCTGAAGGCCAACGCTTAATGACTGAGCCACCCAGGCACCCCTCCATATATATGAAGTTCTCTATGAGATAAATAACTACATCCACAGGCACACTGGTAAACACTTTAAAAAACCATCCCATTTAATCTTCACAAAATTTTATAGTACTATCAGGATTTTGCTGGCTCATAAAAGTAACTTGCCCAAGGTCACAAAGTGAGCTGAAATTTGAACTCAGCTCAGCTGGTCCCTATCACTCCAAAATATAAAATCTTTAATGGGCCCTGACCCAGCTTCTCTTCCCAGCTCTGATCTTCCAAGTTAGTTTGCTGTAGTTTAACTCAAAGATCTTTTCTATCATTTAATCTGTCCTATATCTCTTCTTCTGACATCTGTTATAGGCTGAATTGCGTTCCCCTGAAATACATGTATTCAAGTTGTAAACCCCAACACCAGATATCAAGAGCCTATTTGGAGGGTTGTTTTAAATGTAATTAGTTAAGATGAGGTCATAACAGAGTACGATGGGCCCTTAATACAAGGTAACTAGTATCCTTGGGGCACCTGGGGCACTCAGTTGGTTAAGCATCTGCCTTCTGCTCTGGTCATGATCTCAGATCCCCTCAGCGGCCTCCCTGTTCAGCCAGCAGTCTGCTTCTCCCTCTTCCTCTGCGCCCCCTTCCCCATTTGTGCTCTCTCTCACTTGGTCTCTCTCTCAAATAAATAAATAAATAAATAAATAAATAAATAAATAAATAAATAAA